ATTTTTCATGAATTTTTGTTCTTATTTAGGCAATTTTTTTCCTAGTTTTTGGCTACTATTTTCTGTTGCAACCCTGAAAGAGGAATTGTATAAAAAATGAGTTTTTCTCAAGATCAATTGTTGCAAATTAAAATGCAGATTATTCCGATTTTTCAATTATTTAAACGATTTTCCTACCTTACAGTTCTATTTAATCAAAAACTAAGCTTTTTTTTATTTTTAATAAATGGAGTTATTTTTTATATTTCAGGAAAGTTTAAGTAATCGAATAGCATGTTATTGTGATGTCAGCAAAATAATTTTTGTAAGGCTGTGAAAAAGGGGTTCATTTTGTGAAATTATTATGCTTTTGAAACATACTTCAATATTCTTTAATAATGTAAAATAACCAGTTGTTGCAGTTGAAATAAATTTTGAGTATTCTGAAACCCTGTGTTTCTAAGTATCCATTTTGTCGCCTGATAATACTGATAACATTTAATCTTTATTTTATTAAGTTGGACATCTAAAAGTGTTTTGTGTTAAATTTAATAACCAAATCACCAAGACAATTATTTTTTTAAATAAATGTAATTGATATACCTTTGAGTTTAGGGCATGATTGCATAGTGTTGAAGCATAAACATTTCTTAATTGCAACATATATAAAAGGAAAATGCTAGAAATTAAAATTTTCATTTACCCCAAAAGTTCAATTAGTATTCAAAAAACACAATTTTTTATTATTACATTTTTGATATGATGGTTAAAAAATCTTTATTTTAAAATTATAATATTTTCCTATAACATAATTGTTCAAATTTGTAATAAATTGCATTTAACTGCTAAACCCACTGTCACCAACGAAACTTAAAGCGAGGCTTTAAACTATTCCAGCAACTCATTACTACAAAACATGACTGAAAAAATGTTTTCTGAAATCTTTTTCTTTCACACTTTTAATATTAATAATATTTTATAATGCTTTTTATGGGCCAAATTTTTTTCCTCAAACCATTGCTTGTACATCTCTGATCAATCATACATCTCTGCTTCGGTTTCTGGGGATTATTCATTTAATTACCATTTGATCTTCATATATATTTTAATTATAAATACGTGTAATTTTTCAAACTAAAATAACAATTTTATAACAATACTATATATTTCTACTTCACTGATATTGATATGTTTCAGAGGGCTGTAGTTAGATTAGACTATAATATGAACATAATGATTCGGTTCATTGTTAAAGTTTTTTTTTTCCAATATAATTTAAAAAGTAATATTACTGATATATTTGCTATAAATCACATAACAGTATTTATTAAAAGAAATGAAATATTAATATATATTGTCAGTAGTTTTAATTTGCTAAACCAGGTAGTTTTTCAAGTAGTAATTGTGTCTTATATGAACTGAGGAAAAATATAGCTTCATTTTTTCAATTGGTAATTTTTTTCACTAAATATTAAATATCAATGTAATCGTTTTTATAATAATAGATTAGTACACAATTGTATGTCANATTTTCCCTTTTGAATTACCAAAACTAAATAGATATTTCTTTTTAGAAAGGTTACACCATTATATTTTAAAAAATAAAAAAGTTAAAATTTACTTTGTAAAATTCTGGAACAGATACTATTCATTGGCATAAATGATAAATGCAATATATATGAAAACAACAGAGTCCACAAAACAATTTTGTGGACTGTGTTGTTTAGTTATTACACTGAGACAATTTTAGCTGAGACAAAAAGAGATTTTAACTGAGACGAAATGCAATTTCTGGTTTCTGGTGAGACAATTTGATATTTTGCGAGTAGCACCCCTGATATATATATATATGTGTGTATAAACATTTACGTTTAGATAAAAAATATCATATTTGCCACCAACTTGACTGAATGGATCATGGTATATGACAATTAAGTCATTAACAAAATTTTAGTCATATTTTTCATGAATTTTTGTTCTTATTTAGACAATTTTTTTCCTAGTTTTTGGCTACTATTTTTTGTTGCAACCCTGAAAGAGGAATGTATAAAAAAATGAGTTTTTCTCAAGATCAATTGTTGCAAATTAAAATGCAGATTATTCTGATTTTTCAATTATTTAAACGATTTTCCTACCTTACAGTTCTATTTAATCAAAAACTAAGCTTTTTTTATTTTTAATAAATGGAGTTATTTTTTATATTTCAAGAAAGTTTTAGTAATCTAATAGCATGACGTCAGCAAAATAATTTTCTTAAGGCTGTGAAAAAGGGGTTCATTTTGTGAAATTATTATGCTTTTGAAACATACTTCAATATTCTTTAATAATGTAAAATAACCAGTTGTTGCAGTTGAAGTAAATTTTGAGTGTTCTGAAACCCTGTGTTTCTAAGTATCCATTTTGTTGCCTGATAATACTGATAACATTTAATCTTTATTTTATTAAGTTGGACATCTAAAAGTGTTTTGTGTTGAATTTAATAACCAAATCACCAAGACAATTATTTTTTTAAATAAATGTAATTGATATACCTTTGAGTTTAGGGCATGATTGCATAGTGTAAGAATCGTCGACAATAGATGGCGCTGCAAGAAAAAAAAAACTTAAGAAAAAAAAAGAAGCTGGGGGCGGTTCTCTAGCTTGGTGGGAGAAGACTGGAATGTTCTATGATGGAGCGCGAAGTTTCATTGATTATGTGATTAATTACTATTATTTTCTATATACTTCATGTTTGTGCCGTGGCATAAGTATGCATCTAAATAAAATCGTTTATGCCAAGAAAGGTTTATGGTGAAATCATTTCACATTGAAAAATCTGAAAAAGAACCTGCGAAATATTACTGGCGCAGCCGCCGAAGATGATGCAGAACCAAAAACCAGGTGAGAGNTTACCATTTGATCTTCATATATATTTTAATTATAAATACGTGATAATTTTCAATCTACATTTACAGAAAACTATTGAGGAAAGAAAAAAAGTTGATCCAAAACCAAGAATTGATCCAACTAGGCCCCATGAAGATATTGATACTCAGATAAAAGAAATCGAGAAAGTTATTTCTGAACAGAGGTAGGGATTGTATTGTAATTATAAAATTCTGTATTAAAGTTCCAATAATGTTCTACATCCGAGGAATACAGTTCCCGAGTTCTTTCCGACTCGAATTATTTTAAATATAGAGAGATTATTCTTTTTTAAACTTGAGTGTTTAATTACTTTCACTAGATGAGAATACAGAAGCACTAGACTTCTCAGTGTCAAAACTAGTAGCTTAAAAAGAGAAATCCAAAACATTTTCCAAACGAAGCTGCTTCTTTATCTTCCTCTTTTCCTCAGCAGAATGAATTATTGCTGAATCAGTATTATTACAATTTTTTTTTAATTGACCCCACCCTTATTTCTGATTTGATTTTCTTTTTTGTTATATGCCTTTTTTATTATTTTTTTTATTATTATTTAACAAATGCCAGCCTTTGACTATTATGTCACTAGGCTTCTAGCTCCCCAGTACTTCTTAACAATACAGTCAAAGTCTTGCCTTATTTATCATAAGTCAGTTTCAGGCACTTGAACAAGTTTATGTGTAAACAAATGTCTTGCACATTTTTGTGTGGAAATTATTTCTTTGCTTTAGCAAGAAGATAACTCCTTTAGAAAATTTATCATAGATCGCCCTTTCTGAGCTTTGCGTATATCATTGACTATAGTTCCAGAAAATTTTCACGAAGGGACACTTTGCGATCGAACTCTCTATGATTCGTTTCTATCTGAAACGGAATAAATAAACCGACAACTGCTTACTTATCATTCTTTTATAATTTCTTGCTTGACCAATATTGCCAACTAGATGGCAAAATTGATTTATATTATCACATAATTAACATATAAATCACATATTATCACATCATATAATTGACTAAATGGATTTATATTATCACATTTTTGGAAAAGAGTTTTGCGGGGGGAAATTTGATGTCTCAAAAAAGGAAATTAAGTAACTAATACTAATTTTTTACTTGCTTGACCAATATTGCCAACTAGATGGCAAAATTGATTTATATTATCACATAATTAACATATAAATCACATATTATCACATCATATAATTGACTAAATGGATTTATATTATCACATTTTTGGAAAAAAGTTTTGCGAGGGGAAATTTGATTTCTCAAAAAGGGAAATTCTTAAGTAACTATTACTAAGTTTACATGAAAAGAATTTATATTGAAGTATGCAGTCTCACCTCATTATAATGAAGAGATTTATATGTATTTTTTACTTATAAAACTGGGTGTTATATTTATTTTAGTAATACAACTGATAAAGTTTCACTTTTTGAAAAATATGCTGAGAAAAGCAAAAGACTGTTTGCAGCTAAAAATGAATACAAACAAATAGAAAAAGTGAATAAGGTAAGTAATTATAACTTTTTCAGTTATTTTTACATTTTTTTGACCAGACAGATTATACATCAGTGTAAACCATTACCCTGTTCGAAGCATTACTCTCTTAATAGGTTAGTCAGAAGAGAAGCTTCTTAGTTAATTTCGTTTATGTATATTAACTTAACTATTTTGTTCTTCACCATGGAGGATGCGAGAAGTGTTGCTACTTTAGTAGCACCCCTGANTAGAATATCTCTAAACATATAATCATTTTATGTTTTAAAAAGCATAAAATGGCTGTTAATGTATTTCCCAAAATGATATTTTCAATTATCATTGTCTTCTAATAAGATGCCATTTTATTCTAACCAAAGATATGTGCTAGAATGCAGCTGAGGCAATCATTATCAGCAATCAGTAAAAAATCTCCTCTCAATTTCCAATGCTCCAAAAATGGAACATTGTTCAAAATGCACTTAAATTTTTTTACCCAATTTTTTTTTATTGTCTTCAGATTTAGTAAGTTTATCCATTTTCATATTATTTAGTTTACCATGTTTTAATTTGGCATTTAATCATTTAAGGTTCAAATCACATAATCGAAAACTCCGATTATCTGAAAGTTTTGTTTTTTTTATAAATATTCCGTTTTTTCAGAAAATTCAGCCGTTGAAATAAACTTCCGATTTTCAAAGATAAACCGAAAATTCGAACTACATAGCTATTTTTTACTCGCAGAAGATAAGATTTTCTGCATTTTTATCCACCCGTCAGATAGCTCGTATTTTCGGAATTCAAGCGATGCTGAAGCCCGGAATCTGCTAATGTCTCGATTCTTATTCGCGCGATTTTTGTATCAAACACAGCTTTTTGTTGTTTGCTTGATTTAAAAGTTACACATTGCGATTCTTATTTGCGCGATCTGGATGTCTTACATTGCGATTCTTATTTACGAGATTTAAAAATCCGATATCATGATTTGTATTTACGCGTTTTTAAAGACCTATGTAGCGATTCGTATTCACACGAGCTTAAAATCCAATGTCATGATTCGCTCATGCTGTTATTATATCAAACATCGATTTTCGTATTTTTGCGGATTTTAAAATAAGACTCGCAATTTAAAATAAGGCTAAATGAAATTTGCATTCATGTGATTAAAAAAATATATACCGTGATTCATATTTTCACGATCTAAAAATTACGCATCATGATTCGTACATTAAAAATTCTATATCGCAGTTTGTATTTTCTCATTTTCAAAATCGAATATCGAGTTTCATATTCACGTGATTTCAAAATCCATTATGTTGATTTATATTCACATGATTTTAAAATCCAAGATCGCAATTTGTATTCTCGTGATTTTATGGTCAACTATCGCACTTCTTGTAAAAGTTTTTTTTTCTGCAATAAGTTACTATAAAGGTGACTGTTTTTCTATCGACGATTGTGAGCATTACAGCATCAGCGAAACTGGAGGCAGGGTGCGTAGCGTTTGTAAAAAGTACTTAAAGGTGCTTTTTGGGAGATTTCATTTTTAAAAGTGCTTTTTTCAGCTGGCGTTTTTAAAAAGTGCTTTTTTTTTCACAAATAATTTTTTTTTCTCCTTCAGTGATATCTGGCGGATCCCCTGCATTTCACGAAAAATGGGGTGTTCGCTACGTAATCATTCACGCGGACTTCATGTCGTACCCAAGTTATGACTTGCGCATGCGCACACTCGAAACTGAAACCTGAGTGCTCCAATGCGGATAGAGTCAGATCCTTATTAAATGTTTTTCTCTTTAATTTACAATTTTATTTTACTTCTAACACTTTTTTGATGTAGGGGGTAAGGGTACTTTTGTTCTGAGTTCAGAGTCAAGTTGAATTCACTCGGTGATGTGGGAAAGTACTGATTGTTTCGATTTACGTCCGTTTCTTTTTGTGTTTTTTTTTTTAATGCTAAAACTGTTCATAAAAAGTTTTTGTTTTTCAATAATATCATTGATGCAATATGAAATTTTTGAGTGCTTGAAAATTTTTGTAAAGTGCTTGAAAAGTTTTTAAAAAGTGCTTATTTTTGATTCAAAGATTTGGCTACGCACCCTGTGGAGGAGAATATATTCAAAACTTACATTCTGTATTTGGAAAGAAGAAAAAGTAGTATTTGTCAAAAAATGTTTGAAGATAGGCTAATGACTAAATTAATCACCTACCTATTGTCAGTTTTGCTATTAATACGAGAATGTATAAAACTTTTCCCAACTGGAGAAACCCTCATTCACAAGCTGCATTACACGCAATTTAATCTTGTTAAAGGATTTTTTGCTTGTTTTCAGAAACATGAAGCATTTGCAGCAAACAGAAATTAAACAAAAATAATAAAAAAATATTAAATTCAATTATTTTATTTTTTGGAAAAAGAGTTAATTAACTCAGCGCCAAAATTTAAAAAATATTGTTGCTGTTATTTATGCTATAAAATGCAAAATTCTTATCAAATGAAAAATAATTATCTAAACCGTTGCTGATTATCATATAATTTTTCTAACTAAAATAGCAATTTTCATGTGTTAAAGAGTTAATATATATTCCTACTTCAAAGTTATTGATATGTTTCACAGGGCTCTAGCTAGATTAGATTATAATACAATAAACATAGTGATTCCAATTGTAAAAATTTTTTTTATTTTCTAAATAATTTCAAAAGTCATGTTACTAATATATTTGCTATAAATCATGTAACAGTAATAATTGAAAAAAATGGAATGTTAATATATGTTCTCAGTAGTTTTAATTTGCTAAATCAGACAGTTTCTCGCATAATAATTGTCTCTTATGTGAACTGAAGAAAAATATAATTTCTAGCTTTATATAATTTTTCAATTGGTTATTTTACTTTTTATTACTAAATGTTGTGTATAGATGTAACCATTTATGTACAGTCGTCCCCATTTAATCGAATAAAATTTAATGGAACCAAATCATTTTATATAAAACTAATGTTAAACTTTCCCTTTTAAACAGTTATTTCTTGTTTTTTGCCCCCGCCTAATTGCATAAAGTGGTACTGAAATGGGAAGAAAAAAAATTATTACTTTTGAGAAATGTTTCCCCGGCTAAAATGGAATTTTCCTTTTTCAGTTAACCCCTTAACTGCTGCTGGCGTATATATACGTCTCAGCCAGACAATCCGTTGACTGCCGCAGGCGTATATCTACGCTTTCCCGAAGTACGATGCTTTGCATTGCACTGCTATAAATAGAACTACACCCCCGACTTGAGCATGCAGTAAAATGACCTTGAAAGTGTTCACCAATGAAAGTGTTTGCAATGAATGTATGTATTACCAATTTCGGAGGAGGGAAAGGGGGAAATGTTAAAGTGATTTGTTGTAAAAGTTATATCATAATATTTATTGCTTGTGTGTTTCTATTTGAGTACGGTCGGGTATATTCTTCTTTCGCTTTCGTTTCCCGTGTATATTTGTCGAGAATCCCGCTATCAGTACAATGAATGTGATGTTGGTTTATGTGTCCAACCATGTTTCAAGATTTATCATACAACAGCTAAGTTTTAACATCTTTTACATTGTATTTTTATTCTTTAATTTAAGTTTTCTATTTTCTTTTTTTTCCTTTTTCTTCTCTTGTGAAAGTAAACTGCTTTTAAATTGCAAAGCGTGCATCTTTTTCCCCCACCAAAACACCGCATAACAAACCGCACTTAAGTGAAAAACGATGGCACTGGGGAGTGAATCATGTAAATTTTACTGAGCAGGTAAGGGGTTAATTGCTGACAGGCATGAATTATTAATATGCTTATTTATATATACAATAATTACATTTAAAGTTATTTTCAATAAGTTTTAATTATGATTTATTTTGTATACTATAGGATACTATAGGTGGTCATTTCAATAGGAACTTCTTATTTATTAGTATGTGTTTGGGGTAAAGTTGAAAAATTAATCAAAACTTGCTGCCAGTTTTGTACATTGAAGTAAACGAAGAGGTTTTACCCCTCTGACTTACTTCACACACACATCATTTATAATGTAAAAAAGGGATAGAGTGATTTGTCTTGTGGTCCTCACTTGATGCATGTTAGCTTTGATAAGAAAAATCTTCAGAAAACCTAACACGCTAGTGTACAGAGTGTCTCTCTCTTAAATAGAATAATTGCTTAATCCAGTAAATAACTTTGAATTGGCTTGCAAGTTGAGAGCAAAAAAGAATGATTTAAATTAATCGTAATAAAGCAAAACAATGAATCTTAGAGACAATAATTAAACTGGTATAAAAAGCAATCTTAAATTAGAGATTTTTTCGGAAGGGATCAAATAATATTTTAGCACCTTCATTATGCTTTTCACTAACATTGATTTATTTTTATGTAACTTTACATGACATTTATATTTTNAGATTATAATACAATAAACATAGTGATTCCAATTGTAAAAATTTTTTTTATTTTCTAAATAATTTCAAAAGTCATGTTACTAATATATTTGCTATAAATCATGTAACAGTAATAATTGAAAAAAATGGAATGTTAATATATGTTCTCAGTAGTTTTAATTTGCTAAATCAGACAGTTTCTCACATAATAATTGTCTCTTATGTGAACTGAAGAAAAATATAATTTCTAGCTTTATATAATTTTTCAATTGGTTATTTTACTTTTTACTAAATGTTACGTATAGATGTAATCATTTATATACAGTCGTCCCCACTTAATCGCATATTGGATAATTGAATAACCCGCTTATATGAATAAAATTTAATGGAACCAAATCATTTTATATAAAACTAATATTAAACTTCCCCTTTTAAAGAGTTATTTGTTGTTTTTTTCTCCCGCCTAATTGCATAAAGTGGTACTGAAATGGAAAAAAAAAATATTATTATTATTTTTGAGAAATGTTTCCCCGGCTAAAATGGAATTTCCCTTTTTCAGTTAACCCCTTAACTGCCGCTGGCGTATATATACATCTCGGCCAGACGATGCGTTAACTGCCTCAGGCGTATATTTACTATATTTACGCTTTCCCGAAGTACAAGGTTTTGCATTGCACTGCTATAAATAGAACTACACCCCCGACTTGAGCATGCAGTAAAATGACCTTGAAAGTGTTCACCAATGAAAGTGTTTGCAATGAATGTATGTATTACCAATTTCAGAGGAGGGAAAGGGGGGAATGTTAAAGTGATTTGTTGGAAAAGTTATATCATAATATTTATTGCTTGTGTGTTTCTATTTGAGTACGGTCGGGTATATTCTTCTTTCGCTTTCGTTTCCCGTGTATATTCGCCGAGAATCCCGCTATCAGTGCAATGAACGTGATGTTGGTTTATGTGTCCAACCATGTTTCAGGATTTATCATACAACAGCTAAGTTTTAACATCTTTTATATTGTATTTTTATTCTTTAATTTAAGTTTTCTATTTTCTTTTTTTTTTTTTCTTTTTTCCTTTTTCTTCTCTTGTGAAAGTAAACTGTTTCTAAATTGCAAAGCGTGCATCTTTTTCCCCCACCAAAACACTGCATAACAAAGCGCACTTGAGTGAAAAAATGGTGGCACTGGGGAGTGAATCATGTAAATTTTACTCGGCAGGTAAGAGGTTAATTGCTGACAGGCATGAATTATTAATATGCTTATTTATATATACAATAATTACATTTAAAGTTATTTTCAATAAGTTTTAATTATGATTTATTTTGTATACTATAGGTGGTCATTTCAATAGGAACTTCTTATTTATTAGTATGTGTTTGGGGTAAAGTTGAAAAATTAATCAAAACTTGCTGCCAGTTTTGTACATTGAAGTAAACAAAGGGGTTTTACCCCTCTGACTTACTTCACACACACACACACACATCATTTATAATGTAAAAAAGGGATAGAGTGATTTGTCTTGTGGTCCTCACTTGATGCATGTTAGCTTTGATAAGAAAAATCTTCAAAAACCTAACACGCTAGTGTACAGAGTGTCTCTCTCTTAAATAGAATAATTGCTTAATCCAGTAAATAAGTTTAAATTGGTTGCAAGTTGAGAGTGAATAGGAATGATTTAAATTAATCCTAATAAAGCTAAATAATGAATCTTAGAAACAATAATTAAACTGGTGAACTGATGAATTAAACTGGTATAAAAAACAATCTTAAATTAGGGATTTTTTCAGAAGGGATCAAATAATATTTTAGCACCTACATTATGCTTTTCACTAACATTGATTTATTTTTATGTAACTTGACATGACATTTATATTTTATGATACTAACACAAACAATTTTAATTATAATTATTTATTGATGATAAAACTGAGTTTATTTAATCAAAATGCTATACTATGCATTAAATACCATTAAGAAGTAACATTTCGCAAAAAATCGGAATTTAAGATAAAATATTGCACTCCCCTTTTAATCGAATAACCAGCTTAATTGCATAGATTTGACTGAAACCGATGGTATTCCTTTAGGCGGGATTAACCGTAATAATAAATTAGTGCACAATTATGTCAACACATTGTAATTTGTTATCTTAAATTGTCTGGAATTTATTATTAAACGATAACGCATACATAAAATTTACTCGCTTGGAAATTCAGTTTTTTTTCCTTTCACCCAATCTCATCCCTGTAACTTAAAATATTCTTAATAAGAAATTACTAGTAAAGGGGATGGGATTTACATACTTATTGCCAACATAACAGAGTGAAAAAAAAAGAGTTAAGTGCAAAGAAATAATATTGAGTGCTTAAAAGGTGCTGTTTATTTTAAAAATAAGTACAACTTTTTATATTATGTTAGAATATAGAAGTATGCTTAAATTTTAATTTTTTTTTTTAATTATAGCAAATAGCCAAAATGATGGCAAAAAGAAAATCAAGGACTAGATACATTATAAGCTATACTCAGTATGTCATGAATCTCTCTTTTGCTGTTGTTCTCAACCATAATGGATTTACTGGCAGTCTTGATTTCAGTAAACCCCAATCTTTAATATTAGAGGTAAGATTTAATATTTTTTAGTCACTTTTTTTATTGTAACTTCTGTACTATGTGTATGTATACCATTTTATTGAGCGGCGATGGCTCAGTGATACAGACATAAAACTGTCATTGTGGAGAGCTGGGGTTCGATTCAGAATGGCAGCTTGAAGCCAACTCAGCTTAGATACAAATTTGTCTCGAAAGTAAATGTGGACTGTGCACAATGCCTCAACCATACAGTTGGTCACAAAATTGTGGAACCTTAACCTCCATTACCCCCTGCCCCACACCAAATTTTGAAAAAATGCTTTTCTTTTAAATACCAATTTATTTGCATTTAAAAAAAAATTAAGCAGCAGCTTCATGAAGTTTGCCATTTTGATGTTTTTCGTAGTTAGCTGGGAACCAGAGCCAAAACATTTCCAAGCTCCTGCCCTGCTTATGCTACAGCAATTTTATTGTATATTTATGTACACTTTTTTGACTTTCAGATTTTAATTTAAAATCTGTTTTTTTTAATGAACATAAATTAATATTAAAAGGAACATAGTATTTTAATTATAAATCAATAATTATAAAATATCATTGTATCTGTTTGTCAACAAGGCGAATAAAAAAACGAAATTTCTATAATAACAAATTTATTTTAAAAGCATATTAAACTGGTAGGCATACTCTCATAAACAGAGTGATAAACAATAAGATAGAATTAACAATAAGAAAGAATGAAGCAAAAATAATCAGCTTCAACAGAAACTTAAATGCTCTTTAAGCAGATATTGATGATATCANTGTGCACAATGCCACAACCATACTGTTGGTCACAAAATTGTGGAACCTTAACCTCCATTACCCCCTGCCCCACGCCAAATTTTGCAAAAATGCTTTTCTTTTAAATACTAATTTATTTGCATTTTAAAAAAAAGTTAAGCAGCAGCTTCATGAAGTTTGCCATTTTGATGTTTTTCATATTTAGCTGGGAATCAGAGCCAAAACATTTCCAAGCTCCTGCCCTGCTTATGCTACAGCAATTTTATTGTATATTTATGTACACTTTTTTTACTTTCAGATTTTAATTTAAAATTTGTTTTATTTGAATGAACATAAATTAATATTAAAAAGAACATAGTATTTTAATTATAAAAATGAAAATGAATTTGAGATAATAGTGAGATTGGAATGTCATACTTATTAGTTATTAGGAGGGGGGGAATTCTTAATAGCTCAATTCAAAGCAAAATTAAATAAAATATATCAGCCAGACACAACTGTATTTGTAAAATTATACAGAATTTAAAAGCACAAAGTTTTTTTTTTTTTTTTTTTTTTTTTTTNTTTTTTTTTTTTTTTTTTTTTTTTTTTACTTTAAGCTTGATTTGAAAAGACTGTTAAAAGAACTGATAGAACCACTGGAGCATAAGAAGATTGTGAGCTCCATAAAAAATGCAACTTCGGGACCCTGTTATTTAGTAAAGGGTTATTTAGGAGTACAGTAGTAAAAGTAAAGTTATTCCGTATTTAGTAAAGTTATTCAGGGGTACTGTGGGTACTGACTTTATTTTAGTGGATGGCAATGTGACACCATGCAGAGCATTTCTGGTCAGTCATTTTCTAGAAAATGAAGATATTCTCCAGATGGATTGACCAGCTAGATCTCCAGATTTCAATCTTATGTGTATGAGATGTTTTAGAGACGATAATTACAGCACATAACCTCCTCTGAGAACCAACCAGTGTCTGAAAACAGATGTACTGATGGAGTGGGGCAAATTGCCAGCAATAAAATCATGGGCTGAGACCTGCATATCTCTACAAGTTGGCCATATCCCCATATAAACCATTTTTTTACCACTCTTTGATACTCTCTTACTCTTGATTAGTGTTGCTCACAATCATGCCTGTGTAGTATAATTGTTAAACAGCTAATATTTTTGTATTTTATCAACCTATCTTCAAGCCAAATTTTGGTAATTCAATTAACCAAAATTTAGTACTGTTTAGTAGTTCTGGAGATAATCGACCAATTATAAAAATTCTCCTAATTTTGAAAGCCAGAAAGAATCTAGTACTCATTTTATGCTGGACAAAAAATAAATTCAAAATATTCAATGCCAATTTCACATTAGAGATAAACATTGCCAAAATTATGTATTCTTTTTCATCATGGGTGAGGTAAAAGGTGACATCTGAGATTGACGCAGAATATCATTGTATCTGTTTGTCAACAAGGCGAATAAAAAAATGAAGTTTCACATTTATTTTAAGAGCATATTAAACTGGTAGACATACTCTCATAAACAAAGTGATAAATGGGTAACAATAAGAAAGAATGATGCAAAAATAATCAGCTTCAACAGAAACTTAAATACTATTTAAACAGATATTGATATCATGATCCACGCGAGAACGACCAACAGCAAATGAAAAGAAACTGGCCATTCCTCTCAGACCATGACGTTACCAACGTAAGTTGAATGCATGAGATCGTCATCTTAAACAACTGACCAAGAATGTGCCGCGTAAAGCGTTTACCCGAGCATTAAAGCAAGAGCCTGCAAGAGTTAGATTTGACATAATGTAAGGAAACGTCTTCATTTACAATTGCAACTNAGTTTGGAGTGAAAATTTTCGTCCAATCTAGCTAGCATCTTTAGGACTGAAATTTCATCTCCAGTATTATATAATTTTTACTATGTCTAATAATCAGCCTCTTCTTAATATTTTTAAGTATTTGGTCTTCAAGATTATTTGATAATTAAATAAAATAGTTTAAAACACATAGTAGTAGAAGGTATAGTAATTTCTGTCATGATTTTAACGCTGGTAAATATATGAAATTCATAACTGCTTTTAGCAGATAGTGCAAACATGTTGTGTATTCAAGCATTGTGTTCCCATATCTTTATTAGTAATTGCTTTTGCATGCATTGTAGTTTATATGAAAATAGTATGTCACATTTTAGAACTTAAAAGTTATTAAAACTATATATTAATTAACTAGATTGTTGCAACAACACAAAAAAAACATAAAATTATTGAATCAATCTTATCCTTACTGCTACAAATCAACTGTCAATTATTAGTTGCATAATCACTATTTAAACTTAATAATAAAAATATGTTTTAAAAAATTTAGCCATTCTTTTCTTGTAAAGTTTAAGCCAAATTATAGTGTTAAATACACCCAAATTGATTCACCTTTGCCAATATTTTTTAATTTATTTTAACTTCAATTTAAAGGCTAATCATTAAATATCTTGATATCGGAAAATAGGACTTATTCCACTTTCAAAACTAACACCACAATTTTAGGTTGTTATTATAAAGCATTTCGTATCAATGAACCGAACCAGAATATCTAACCTTACCATTTCCAATTTTGATTCAATTTTTAAAGAATTCTTACTCGAGAATTAAATTTTGTAGTAGTAGGTTGTTGTGCTCTTGGAGTCTAGATTCACTTTAATTCGATCATGGCTTAGTATGTACCCAAATTTAGTATGAGGAAGCTTTTTATATGCGCCTAGGTTCACTTTAGTTAGATTGTGAATGAAAGTCTCCATTCTTAAGAAATTTCAAAGGAGGAAGCCAACTACATTGCCTAACCAGAATGTTTGATTCTAGAGGCTCATTAATAATATAGGCTAGGTTCACTTTAATTAGATTGTAGCTGAAAGTTTCCATTAAGATAAAGATTCAAACACAGGTATTGGGATAAGTGCTTTGTTATGGTTAGTTGTAAAATTGTTCCAATTTCACTAGCATCTTTTCAACAATGTAGTTAATTTTTTGGGATATAATTTATGACAGCTCTAAATATCTGTGTATCATAAGACTAAAAATTGTTTGAGTAATATTGGTCTAATTAACATGAACTGACTCCTATTCAAAATTACTTATATTCCAATCAATTCTATTACAATCATTTTAGGACTCAAATAACAGACATTTGAGTATAAATCTTCTTCTACGAGAAGCTGGACGAATGGAGAGCACCCAGTTCATATTCTTGTCACCTTTGGATTTACCCGATTTAAGAGTTGCAAACAACATTAGCATCAAAGTGCATAAAATGCAAGCACCTCAGCGAATCGGATTAAGTACCATGGATGAACAATGATTTGTATTGAGTTGTATGTACCTTTCTGGTACGATTTGTATAGAGAGTATGTGCCTTTCTGGAAGTATTCTTATGCTATTATATCCTTTCTCTTTTCATAGGTTCCCAAAGCAGGCGCTATCTCCCCCTGGTGGGTGAAGAACTTTAGGGTGTGTTATTAAAATTCATGATTTTTTAGGTTTAAGGAATTAATTAAATTACTGAGGCAGCATATATTCATTATGAATGCAGTTGTGTAATTAAAATTGCTTATGCTTAAAAGTAACAAATACATGTGAACACATCTTCATGTGAATTTAAAGCTTTTTTGTCCTAGCAGCTTACATAAATTTCACCTAAAAGTTGATTTATTCTTGAAACTTAATTAAACTTGCATTTAAAAAAAAATAGTCTGAAATTCATTATTCAAGAACTTAAAAATATGTTAATATTTGTTTATTTTTGGCAAGCTCTATATTTAAAAAAAGTTAGGAATATTTTATTAAATTAAGTTAGTGGTTGTCATTTTTGATTTAGGTTTTTGTGAAGGAAAGGAATATTATAAAACCATAAATTACTTAGGCTTTCATATTGTTAACTTAGAAAATATTATATTTATATAATATTATAATTTGAAATTTGTTTCACTCAGTTCAACTAGAACAAATAAACATAGCCATTGGTCGTCTTTATTATATATATTCATGGCATAACTTATTTTACTTTTTTTTAATAGGCGGAAAATGATATTTAATTAAATATTTAATTTCACCATTAATATGTAGATTTATTTTTATGCGAAATTTTATCAATTTTGCATAGAAGTTGTTTTCATCAAAATTAGTTTAAAACATGTTTCAAATACACGTTGGTCATTCAGTACATTCCGAATATTTAATTAAATATTTAATTTCACCATTAATATGTCGATTTATTTTTATGCAAAATTTTATCAATTTTGCATAGAAGTTGTTTTCATCAAAATTAGTTTAAAACGTGTTTCAAATACACATTGGTCATTCAGTACATTTCCGGTAACTTAAAGGTTTATAAGAAATGTATCGTAACAAAAATATTAAGACTTAAAATGAGACAAACATAGTATTAATTATTTATTATTTCTCTCTATCTGACTTGCAAAGTGGCAGTGTTTAAAAAAAGATTGGGAACCTATGTTTTAGATAAAGAGATATTATAAAATCAAAATTGAATTAAAAACTCAAAAAAATATGTATTTTTATTCATTTTGTATAATGTATTTTTTTAAAGTCTAAAAATGTTTATATAACAATTGCTATTTTAATACTTAATGGTTGTTTCACATGAGTAACAGAAATTTAAAAAAGAAAAAGATTTTCATATTCAAGAAATGCTTATGTTATTGTTTGCACTGTAAATAATATCATTTAGGATGCTGGATGAATATGATGTTTTTATGGTAATTCAAATTGCTCTCTATTCACTATAAGATACTGAACTAAGTTATTTTGATCTCTTTCCAGGCTTTGGTTTTTCCAAGGATGGTGCCAGACTCTGCCCGACAAGGGGTCAAGTCTCCCAGACAGGGGCTCAAACAAATTAATTCAAAATATTTAAATTAAAACGAATTTTATACTTTACATTTTTTTCTCACATCACTTTTTTCAAGTGTGTTTCTGAGAATCCAAAATCACTAATATTGATACCATAATGTGCAGATTCCTTTTAATGTAAATTTAAATCTTTTTTTTTTCTGTTATCGATGTATTTTACACTGTGTGATATGATTTTGGTATCCGAAAAATTTTTTGGTACTGATTATGGTTTTGGTANGCATGAGGAAAGTGTGTGATGTGCCATTACAATGATTTTTATTATGGGTAAATAATATTCTTTTGTGTGAATAAATAAATTCCAATTGTATCATACATTTAATCTAAGTCGAAGAATCCCTATTGTATCTAAAAAGTTTTCCTACATAATTCTAATTTCGTTTCGTTTTCTCCAATTTTAAGTGTCTGTCTTTTAATTTATTTTGATATCATTTTCGGACCCATTCCTGCCGAGCTTGATATATTTAAAAGATTTACCTCATGAGAATGAGTTGAAATTTCGATTTCTCTATGTTTTCTTATTTTAACACACTTCTGGTGAAAAATTATTCTGCAGAATTTCTCAAGAAAATGGGAAGTGAAAAAAGACTTTGCTTTGTTAGGTAGGAAAAGATTGTTCTTAATTTTGGAAGGGCTATGGTAGCCCAGTAGTTAGAGAATCTGACTCTGATTGGAGGAGCCAGAGTTCAATCCTCGACTCCACTAATACTCACCAAGTACATTCGATACGAGTATACAAATTTGTTGAATAAAAAATCCCGTGGTCGGTCGTAAACATTACTAGTACAGGGATCTGGAGTAAGTTACCTTCCCCTTCAGATCAGATTGAGGAAGTGGCCTCACTAATGAGTGGTGCTGTCATCTATCCATGAGGTTCTGAGCTAAGACATACTTTCACCTTTTCTCGTCAAAGGAAAGGTGATCTTCTCGACTTACACGCAAAAGGCCATTAGCTGACGAGCTTGGCTTGTCCAAGTGTCATTAGGAATAACAACAGTAATTTTGGATAGTTAATATTGTACATAGATTTTTTTTTAAATGTACTTTTGTTTTAACATATAAAAACTTATTTGGATGTTGAAAAATTCTTTCATATATCAGTCAATAGTTATGCATATTTCCGAAATCTAAAAGAAAAATGGATAACACTGAATTACCTTTCTGAAAAGGCTGACTTCAAATTTATAATGGCACAATTTAGTCCAAAAAATTTTGTGTGGAATTTTGAATAACCGTCCTTGATATTTTGACTAGGCGATAGACTTTTATTTTACGTTTTTCAAAAAACGTGGTCATGCAGATTAAATATCCATCAATTTTGTTTCTTTTTAAATTTATACAGAAATTTCTTTTATTCTTTTCTCCATCTGTTCACACCTCTTTGACATTTGTGTTCGGCCGCATTAATAATTCGAATAGGCATACAGAAAAACGAACAATTGTCAAATACTTATAAATGGTTGGTTACAGAAGACAAAAAGAAAAAAAGGATTATTATAATGTCAATTAGTCTAGATTTAGGGGTTTACCACGTGGTGCTCGCTGAGATATTTTATTTAGCTTAAGGAATTATTCAGAAATAAATTCAAAAAATGACTGTGGAAAACAATCATTTCAGACGATAACTGGGACTTCAAAACTAGGGCTAGTATTTAAAAAAAAAAAAAGGTTGGTGATTTTAGACCGAAAGGAGTAATCGGCGATTAAGGTGCATCTCGAATTAAGCAGCTTTACTTTAAGACAGGTTTCATAAGTTCTTCTGAAGCTAATTAATGTAAATAAAACAAGAACTAGCCCTGGTAGTGTTCAAAGGAGGTGGTTCGGACTATTCGGCAGTTTCTCAATTCCTCAATCGGTATTTAAAGCTCTTAACTTTAAAATTTAGGTGCAAAGTCTTCCCAATATATAGCAAGTGCAAATTGAAACCTACTTTCCCCGAATACGTCCTTGATTGTCTAGAATTTCCTTGGAGGACATTCTCTTGAGACAGATTTTGTGTGTGACTTTGCCAGAGTGTTTGGACTCGTGGATTTGATGTAGATGAGGCTGTATTGTGAGGGATTAGAAACAACAAGAACTTGAACTCACTATGGCCTTTGATCAACGAGTGTGATAAAAATTGTTTTACCTAATTATTGTAAGATACTGAAGATATTTTTAGATACTGAATTATTCAGTTAAGACTTCGAATAAGCGCATATTCGTGATAGAAGGAAGAAAAGATACAAGAAAATGCAATTATTTTCGTGAGGAACTGAGCCCTTGAGTAAGGCAGTTTGTCTTATTTGCAGTGTGGCGGTATAAAAGGATGATACTAAACACAGTTCGAAATATTTTGGATTGAACGGACATATTTTTAAAGTGGAGAAATCGTTATTGCCAGATGAGCATATACACTGGTGAGCAAAAATTAAAATCGAAGTGACTTTTCGAATGTAAATTTGAACAGCGGTATTGAAAATCGATAAAAAATCATACGACAGTATCCTCAAAATGTAAAAATATGGGAAAGTAAACAACTTGCAAAAAAAAAATAATCCAAGGGAACAATAAGGAACTTTATTGAATATAGGCTTAAAACACAATTGTGCAAATGACCAAAATGTCAATGTTACACGGTATTTTGGCGAGGGAATTCAAGCCTTTAGTATGGGATATGATCACATCGTTTGCCCACCCTGAGGACCAGGTTGTTAAGAGGCTCTTGAGGAACTGCTGTCAATTCCTGTTGTAGTGCTAATCGCAGCAACGGAAATGTTGCTCGTGATCCGACATTAAACGTATTTAATTCAATACGCTCAAATTCAAATAAAAAGCATGAGCATTTGGCGAAAGGTTTCAGAGGTCCCGTCTCGAGACCTCGCATGAATATTTTGCAGTTTATTTATTGTTACACATACACATGCATGCTTTTGCGTTCAAATTGCTTAAGTCCCTTATCAAATTGATACTACAAAATATAAAAGGAAATCACAAAGATACTTCCAGGGTGACAGTGGGATTCGAACTCGCTATCTCAACGTTATAGAGTGTTTGGCGGTATGATGAGGCCTCTCGGCTAAGGATGCTCCTTCTTGTAGGGGATGTTTCCCAGACCGTCGTCAATAGCCCATTGTGCAGCTCTAGTGCGACGTAAATGAACAAAACAAACAAGCTCCTTCTTGTAGTTGCTATATATATATATATAAATTGTACTCTATTTACTGTAAGCAAACGTTGTCGGAAACCGATTTTTCATAAAAATGATCGTTGTAAGCGAATTAAATGTAAGTAGTACTTATATTTATTCTTTTCCATATACTTTTTCATTGTTTAAAAAAAATAGTTAATGTGATGAATATTTGTATTAAATGTTATAATGTTAACTTTAGTACTAGTATTTATAAAAAGATACCTATATCTTGATTTCTGGAAGTCTTCTAATTTCTTTCTGGAAATGTTTAAATTTCCTCTATGTAATATTTCCAAATTTTGCAAAGCATCTTCTGAACAGTTCAATTTAGATTACCCATAAACAAACTAAATAGCGATATGATTTTGGGGGTCTGATTGTTCAGAGGGCTGATTCTATATTAAAAGCGAAAAATTTAATTAAGAAAAGTTATTTGGTCTCTAAAAATTGCAAGGTTTGTTAATTTGCTCTATCATCCACTGTTTATGATTTGAATTTCTTATTAAACTCGGAATTGGAGAAGGGTGCATATCGAGTTATTATGCCTTGGAATTAATAAAATTTAGAACTGGTGAGACAGATATTATAGTTTGAAATTCCCCTTACTTCTGATCTTATCTCCAGCCTTGCAGAAAATATTTTAA